ATGACTAGCATGAACATCCAGCAGCAACAAATACACATTATAACATTAATGGAGGAAGCAACCGTAAGCATAGAAAACATTGTTACGTAGAAAAAATTTAATATCAAAATTAAAATTTAATAATAATAAATCAGATTTATGATATGTATCTCTTAATGTTATTCAGAAAAAATTTTATCTAGTCTCTAGGAGCACCATCCTCATATTCGAAAAATCACAATAATATCGATCTAAAAAAAAATTAGATTCATCTTCTTCTCTTTTTCTATCTTTTACATGATTTGTTAAAAAATACGATAAAGAAGATGATGAAAACACTTTGGAAACAAATAATAAACACAAGATCAAGAATACTATATGAAATATATTTAGGCTTGAAACATGGATAAATATTTTCCTAAAAATGATATTTGCATCATCTTCTCAATAAGATTGTTATGAGTTTGATACAAATTTAGTAGATATGACAAGCCTTTAGAAGAAGATCTGAGCAAATAATAAAGAATCTTAAAAGAAGAATTAGAAAATATCCAATTCAATCACTTTGTGAGTAAAGAAAAATAGTATGAAAAAGATGTCATCATAATTTACTCTCAAATACCTATTTATAGATATTTTTCACAAAAGACATAACTTTTGAAAAATAATTAACAAATTAACTAGAAAGGAAACCATATTTTCAAATAAATCTTTTGAAAAGAATTTTTTTTATTTGAATAATTTATAGCAATCCCCCACTTATTCAAATTTAAAATTTTCTTCAAATGATTAAATAATATTTATGAATAAAGTAATATATCTTTCGATTTGAATATTACCTTAGTGTAAGCATCACAAAGTGAAGTTGAAATCCCAAATAGCATAAAAGCTTTGAATTTGTTATTCCTAATAACAACACTAATGATACCACACACATAAATATAACATCATTATATTCCTCAAAAAATCTCGCTCAGCCCTAATATGGCATTGAGCTCATCCAAATTCATGAACTTTTATGAAAGAAACTCCAACTCTTAATCAAAGCGGCACCACTTTTAAGTTCATATAGGTAAAGTTCTTATAATATCTTTATTACTCTTTGAGATACTTGTCCTAATTTAACTGAACTTCATTAAGAGTATAATTAACTCAACCCTCATTCAGTGACAACCAGCACTTTAACATTTTTAGATGTGGCTCGTAAAATATTTCAAAGTACTAAACCACTCCACATGTCAATGACTTGTTTTTACCCTTTGAACTCTTCATTACTCATTTCATAATGTTGAGTAGGGTTGCTATCATTGGTGGATCTTTTATTCAAGGAGTTTTAGCCCCATTCATTTTGATGTTGATCTTACAACTTCTCTTGAAGAGGTTTGGTGAATGGATCAACTAAATTCTCACTTGTTTTCACAAATGTGAGTGAAATAATCCCACTCTTGATTGATTTCCTCACATAATCATGCTAAGACTTATATATGTCTTTACTTTCCATTATATATTTCACTATATGCACGAGCTAAAGTGGCTTGACTTTTACAAAGTATAGAAATTGAATTCACACTCTTAGAAGTCAATGGAATTTCTAATAGAAAGTCCCTCAACCATTCAGCCTCCTTTCATGTATCTGCTAGAGTAATAAATTCTGATTCTATAGTTAAGTGAGTTATACACGTTTGTTTCTTGCTCTTCTAAGAAACAACGCCACCTCCCAAGGTGAACACCCAACCAGTAGTGGATTTGTTATCTCCAAAACTCGATATTCAACTTGCGTCGGTATATCCTTCTAAAATAGCAAGAAATTTTGAGTATTGTAGGCCATAATCTTTGGTTCGTTTAAGGTACCCAAGAACTCTTTCAATAGCCTTCAAATACTCTACATTTGGATTGCTAGTAAATCTACTTAATTTACTAACTGCAAATGCTATATCAGGTCTTGTGCACTGCGTTGCATACATAAGACTTCCTATAGCACTTGAATATTCTAATTGAGCCACTGTTCTTCCAATATTTTTGACTAATTTGATACTTAGGTCAAACGGGGTATTTGCTTATTTGATTTTTAAGTGACTAAATTTCTCCAATATTTTCTCTATATAATCAGTTTGACTCAAAACATATCTCCCACTATTTCTTTTTATCTTGATACCTAGTATAGTATCAACTTGCCTAAGATCTTTTATTTTAAATGTTGAAGATAGAAACCTCTTTATTTCTATAATACCTTTCATGTCGTTGCTCACTATTAGTATATCATCAACATAAAGGCAACTATCACCATATAGTCATCATAAGTTTTGAGATAAACACATTTATCTACAATATTATGAACAAATCCATTAGAAAGAATTATTGCATCAAATTTTTCATTCCACTGTTTTGGAGCATGTTTTAAACCATACAATGACTTAATAAGTTTACACACTTTATGTTCATTTTTCGGAAGAACAAAACCTTCGGATTGTTCCATATATACCTCTTGAGGTTCCCATTTAGAAATATCGTTTTGACATCCATTTGATGAATATAAATATCAAAAATTGATGCTAAAGCAAAATTAATTCTAATAGATGTGACCTAGCTATAGGAGCATATTTGTCAAAATAATCTATTCCTTTCTTTTGTCGAAATCCTTTAGTAATTAACCTTGCTTTGAACGTTTGAAGAGTACCATATGTATGATACTTCCTACAAAATACCCATCTACAACTAATAGGTTTAAAGGCAAAAGTAAATCGACAAGTTCCCAAGTGTGGTTTGACATAATAGAATCCATCTCATCATTAATAGCATCTTTCCAAAAAGCAGTATCACGAGAGGCCATAGCTTCTTTAAACGTTTTAGGATCATCTTCCACTTGTAAACTAAGAGGAATTGTTTTTAAGACTCTCTCATTAGTTCCTTCTATGAGGTAAAAAGAAATACTTTGAGAATCAATCTCATCTGATCTTAATGTTTTTGTTTTTTGTACATGAGTGCTTCTCCTTAATTCATGAGATTGCTCTCCAACCTCTTGTGAACTTGATTGATGTCCAATCAAATGAATATTAGGTTGCTCACCAACCTTTTGAGATGTCTCCACTAGTGACTCTTCGAGGATGAACATTATTACTTGAAGTCATTAAATGTTTAAAGAACTCCACATCTCGAGATTCTGATATTAGACTTCAAATTAAGAAGTCTATATACTTTGCTATTTGAGGCATAGCCTATAAATGCATATTTGATTCCTCTAGATCCCAACTTTATCATTTGAGGATCATTATTCTTACAATATGCAAGACACCCCCACACTTTAAAATAACCAATGTTAGATTATCTTCCTTTCCATAACTCATATGGAGAGATCTTATTCTTTTTAAAGGGAATTCTATTTAAAATATGACATGAAACCAATAAAGCTTCTCCCTATAAATTATAAGATAATTTAGCATGCAATAACATAGCATTAATAATCTCTAGATATTTTTTTCTTTTTGCTAATCCATTTTGCTTAGGTGTTCTAAGTGCTGAACATTCATGAATTATATCATGTTGTTCACAAAACAAGTTAAATTCATTAGGAAAGTATTCTCCTCATCTGTCATTTCTTAAAACTTTAATTTTCTTCCCTAATTGATTTTTAACTTATGCTTTATATGCCTTAAAAGCATTAAAAAGCATCATTTTTATGTTTCAATAAGTACACATAAATCTAGACATATCATCTATAAAATTAATGAAATATCTATTGCCTCCTCTTGTTAATATATCATTTAATTCACATATATCAGAATATATTAAGTTTAACAAATTAATATTTCTTTCAATATTTTTGAAGGGTTTCTTCATCAACTTTGATTTAACATAAATTTTACATTTATTAAGATCATCAAAATGATAATTTATAAAGCCATACTTAACCATTCTTCTATGGTGCTAGTTCCAATATGAGCTAATCTATCATGCTATAACGAATAAGAATCAACAATATAAATAGAAGCAACATCTTTATTAAATTTAGAATCATTATCAATAATAGATAATTTGACCATTCGCTTAGCAGAATAGCCTTTTCCAACAAAAGTTCATTACGGGATATAATTAACTTCCTAGATTCAAATATAGATTTAATTCCAGGTTTGCCAAGGAGATTCCCACTCACTGAATTTCTACTCATATCTGGTACATGAAGAACATTAGTAAGAGTGACTTTCTTTCCCAAAGTGAAAGTGAGTTCCATATTTCCCTTGCCAATTACCTTAGAACGAACTTCATTTCTCATTTGAATCTCTTACCCTTCTGTGACTTCTTTGTAAATCTTGAAGAGTGTCTTATCATAGCAAACATGGACGGTAGCACAAGTACCATACCACCAACCAGAAACTTTGTCAAATATAGCATTCACTTCGCTCACCATAGTGATTATATTATCATCTCCTTCAACGGAGTTGACTTCGGGTTTTTGACCTTTTTTAAATCTGCAATCCCTAGCAAAATGAACAGGTTTTTCACAAACAAAATAGCCTCCACTCTTTGGCTTCTTAAATTTTCTTTGATCCCTTTTGGGGCCAAAATGATTCTCCTTGTTTTGCTTGTCTTTATTGGAATTCTTAGGCTGATTCACAACATTTGTTTTTCTATTACCAAAAGAGTTCTCACTCGTCTCTCATCCTCGATTCCTCTTTGATTCGAAGATATTTTTAAATTTGCTCCAAAGTGATATCCTTGAAGTCATACAAAATCTTTTTCCTATACCCTTTCCAAGATGAAGGCAACTTGGCTATTATAGCCCCTACTTGAAAAGTTTCAAGAAGTTCGATTTTTTCAACCTTCAATTGATTAACAATGATCTGCAACTCATAATTGGATTTTCTTTTTATTGACTGATAATCATTATCAAAATCTAATTATATCTATAATATATTTTACCTAATTAGATAGAACCAACACAATCTAATAGAAACGAGATACATATGCTAATAAAACAAGAATCACACAAAAAAACAACTTATTTATGCTTAGATTGATGTTAATTTTCTTTTAAGATAGACAGAGAATGCATATTTGACTTTAGAGCAATCAGAAGGCCATCTGTAGTATTATTCATCTTACACTTTGCAAGCTGAAATAGAGACAACAAGAATTGCACAACTGCACAAACCTATACAGTGGACATCTCAATAGTGATGAGATGTGAAGGAATTAAATAAAAGAATAATCAACTTGAAGAAAAAGGTACAGAGATATGTTGGTTTTCTCAGACAGCATAGATAATTCCGGGATAACCGAGGAAGCTTTAGGTTTCTGGTCACTTTGCAAGTAGATAACTATCGTCTTCTTGTATGAAGCATCATCTTCTGGGTGATGCATTCTTCACAACTTCACGATGTGCATTCGGCTTTGTCCTCATTGGCCTTCTGACTCTAGTCTGCAAATTTCATTAAAGTAATCTTCTTTCTCCATACTGAGTTATCTTCACATACATTACCTGCCGCGGTTGGAAGCAACACAAAGATGCAGTTATAGGGCAGAAGTGCTAGAATAGGTAAGATGCTCATATACATGATTTTATAAATTCTACTAATATTCCAAACTACAAACTATCTATAAAACTTGGTTAATGAAGACATGAACATGAAGACAAGTTTTAATTGAGAAAGCTGAGACAGAGGAAATATACTTACTACATTGTCCATGAAGCAATGTAAGAAAAGTGATAGCATCTAAAGATTATGAGAGATAGCTCAGCTCATGGGAGATCGCCAAATTGTACAAGGTATCTCCTATGTTATCTTCGTATCTTAATATTGACTGAGAACATAGAAATTACATATAAATAAAAAAAGTAAAATCCAGGAAATGTGATGGACTAAAGAAAGCTTTCTAAGAGGGATAGTGCAAGTTGTATGTTGGCATTGACTCTTTAATGGCTGTCCAATACCTGTTTAGATTCAAAGATCCTCGGTTTCTGAGAAGCATTCTAAAAGACAGTGCACGTTTATGCTAAATGTGTCAAGGTAAGGATTGGCAACAGAATAGAACACACAAACTTGTAAATGGTGCTAGATCAAACGGGACTTCTTTGTCTTGGATACACTTCTCTCAAAGTTGCAATGATTTCAATGTAATTATGCATACTACTGTCTGTTAAATAAATGGTTTTCTTTTAAAAAAAAATTGAGAACACAGAAATGATAAAAGATAATTAATAAAATCCATGAATGCTAGACTGTCAGACTGACAGCTTCACCATTTCTCATCTCTCCTTTTTTCCAAACTCCTCTGAGAAACCTTCCAATTTTGTAGAAGTTGAAGTCATAATATGCACTGTTAGCTCAGCTAGTCCTAATGGATTTGTGATCAACCACAGCTACATCTTCATATTCTTGACCCTGAGAAATTCTGATTACCTTCTGCCTTATTTAGTTAATACCATTAGATATCATTGACAACTCTTTAAAAGTTACTCAAAGGTCATCTGAGCCTTGAACATCTGAAAGATATTGAAACCAGCCAATAGAGAAGAAAATAGATTTACCTTTGACAGGTTTTGGCAGAGAAATTTTGTTTCACTTCTGAGAGAGGCTCTCGCTATCACATGCATGACTTTGAGCTTCTTCACCATCATGCTCAAAAACCTTCAGTACCTTGCATTCAAGCGTCACCTCAAGCTCTTCTCTCTTCTTTCGTTTAGTCCGACATGCAACTGCACGCGCACTAGAAGGGCTTGAAGCCTTGAAAGTTGAAATCTAATGGATGATAATGAGTAACTTGCATAATATATAATAGATTTATGAAATAGATTACATACATTGTGGTGAGTCTAAAATTATAGCGCTTTAGTCCTGGGATTTCTGTCTCAGGGGAATTTTCCATTTTACTGCAACATCCTAGTGATGATACATCCTCGGAATGAGCTTCAGCAGATTCTTCTTCCAGCTCGATACTCGTCGTTTCATGTTCATCAGAAAGGTACCACTCCTCATCACTTAATTCTACTTGATCATCACTGAAAGAACCTTCTTCAAGAGAATCATCTTCGAAAAGTCCTTTTTCTTTGTAAATGGACTTTTCATTGTGTTTACTTTGAGGAGTCTCACCAAGGTTGGCATCATCAATAAGTGCATTAACAGAACATGAATTTTCAGCAAATACAGACCTCCTCACATCAGGATCACACTGTTTCTGTCTCGAAGGCTGAGGCACAGAATCCAATTCAGGAAAGACAGAACATCCCTCCCTGTCCTTTTGTTCATCAGCAAAGGGAAAAGGAGGCTTTTCCATATACTTTTGGTTATCATATGACTTCATAATATCTGCAGAACTATCTGCAATTTCAAGGAAAGATTTTGTGGCATCACTATCTTTGTTTAATCTTTCTGGTATTGCACTGTACTGGACTCCACTAGTAGACTGAGCCCACTGGAAAACATCAACATCTCCAGGCAATGGCCCAGGTTCAAGGTTGTCTTCATGCCCTAAAGGTTCTCCATGAAGACAAACAGACTTGTCACTACGTTCTGTGGTCATTCTATCAGGAGAAAAGTTCAATAATCTTGAACATCTTTGCATACGCGATGTGTGTGCTTCCAGGTCAGATTCTTCAGCATTCTCACGAGACAATATTGACTCCCCTCCATCCTCGACTCCACAATTTCTGCAAGCCTTAAGCTGCTCATCTGGTGGAAGCAAATAGTCACCTTTTGTGGCAGGTTCTTCTACTTGATCATTATTGTCCTGGCTTATTCTTGGTGTAATTTGACCAGCTTCATTTTTCTTTCCAAGAAAGAACTTTTTTTCACCTTGTAACAGATCTGCCGGCTCTTTCAACTTTAGAATCTTTGACTCATCTGGACTGCTCCAAGTGTTGCAATTGTTTAGGACGATGTTGCTTCTCCTGTTAGGATCATTCTCCTTTTCATGCAGAGTTTCCTTAACCTTCTCTTGGTTCCTCTCCATAGTGTAGACATCAACTTCATGAGCAATATGAGCATTTTCACCAATAAACAGTTCAATATCGTCCTTATTCTGATATGCTGTTTTATCCTTCAAAGCCTCTTCATTCAATCTAGAATCTACTAGATCCATTTGGACATGACCAAGCACTTCCAAATTCTCCATTCTCAATCTCTCCTCTTCAGTGTGTTTCCATTGACCAAACCCTTCTCTTTCATCATAGAGCTGGTCTAAATCTTCTACTAGTGGCAATCTTCTCTCACCGAACAATTCCCGCTCCTTCTCAAGTTTGCTCCTTTCCTGTCTCAGTTCGTTTTCATTTTCAATTGATTCTTTCAAATCATTCAACATCATGTCATCTTTTGTCTCTCTGTTCTTCAGGTTCCTCATTTCTCTCTCCAAAAGTTGTTCTCTCTTGAAAATATTTTTATTTCTATTCTCAAGTATTATTTCCTTATGTGCCACCACATCCATTCTCCTTTTCAGTTGTTCATCAACAGCTCTTCTATTCATCTCAGTTTCCAGCTCAAACTCTTCTTTTTTAGATTCTAAGATGGAATCATTGTCATCAATGATTTTTTGGATGTCCACCTTCAAAAATTAAGAAAGAAATGTCAGCCTAACTGGTGAGGGTATGAAAGCTGGAAGAGATGAACTCCACAAGATTAAGAAAATAAATTAATCAAAAAGCAGTAAAAAAACTCCTATCTTTTTTCTCAACTTAACTGATCTGGTAATCGTTGCTGAATTTTGTTCTATTTTATGCAGTTTTAGGTCTAATTCTGCATTGGATTATGTTTGACTTGCTCAAATTTAAAGAGGTGGCTATTTGCATATCAATCACCCATCCATAAACCTTGATGTCATAGTCCTAGTAAAATTTCTGTGACCAACCATATTACATTAGACGTTGATGATTGATACACCCTTGGGCTCGGTTTCTCTTTTTTCTAGTTGGGACTATCTTGTACATAGTAATCATTATGTCATTAACTATGTTTCCAACCATGAATTGGTTTCTTGGAATGTTTCTAGAGACACTCATATTATTTATATACATGTTGCCTGACTCAAGTTGGAAGAAAAAGAAGGAAGTCTTGAAGACATGAATGACAAAAATAAAATAAAATCTTAAGAGAACTTGTTAGAGCATTCTAGCAGAAAAAATAAAATAAAGAAGTTGTCCAGAAGTAGGTAGTCAATCACAAATTAAAATCATATCCCAGAAATTCTCAAATTGTTTGACAGGGAAGAAATCTATTTTTATCAACTAAGATAGCTTCAAATTGGAAAGCACACAAATATAAATTTAAGTTTCGAATAAAAATTAATATATATTTATATCACACCAGATCTTCTCATGCAAGGCCAACTACTAAATCATGAGATTGGTCAAAAGGTTGAATGCAGAATCTAAATATGCCCACCTGTCCAATTGTAGAACTTAAAATGTATAGATGAAAAGAATCAAGACAAGTTACAAAAGTAGTTATATGTTCCCTTGTTATTCCTCCCAATAAAAAGTTTGTGAAACTTATACATGTTAATAGTCATTTTCAAGCAGTATATGAGAGTTGTGTCCTAATCTGAAGGAGAAATTTCCATGCTTCAAACAGATTCAACTTGTCTATTAAATAAGTAGACATAGTTCAGATATGTCTTAATAACACTACTTACGGTTGATATGGATGTAAGTCAAATAACCAAATTTCATTTAAATATGCTGGCTTTCCTTCTATCTTCCTCCCCTCTCTTCCCTGCCTTGTATGATTCAATACCACCAATATCCAAACTTCATCATCCAGATGACACAAGTTCACATGGAAGAAGAAAGTAATAGCCAATAAACTTGTAGATTGAAGTAGAAAATAAATAGAATTTTCCTAAAAAGTAATATCCACATCTGTAATAGGCACTTACACTTTCTCTATTGCTCAGTGGATCTTCGATGGCAAGTAATTCTTTCTCTTTCTTCTCTAACAACTCCTGCTTTATTACAGCTTCCTGCAGTCATTGCTGATTAGATAAAGAAAGCAAAGATGAAAAATAAGTAAGACAATCCATCAAAGATTACAAGGAATACAAAAAGCGGACCTTTTCTTTCGCATCTAAATCTCTAAGCCTCATGAACATATCCTCTTCTTTCAATTTAATTGAATCATTGAAAACCTCCAAGGTCTTCCATGACTCTTCAAGTTCCTTTTCTTTCTTCTTAAGAGTGTTGCATCTCTCATGTGCCTCCATCTCTCTCTCATTTAGAAAGCTATGCCACCTGGCAAGCTTCTTCTGACTATCCTGCAGCTCCTGTTCCCAAGCTTGCAAACCCTTTCTTTGTTGTGCAAGATCCTTCTCAAATGTGTTTTTTCTAGATGTCATAAATCACACCAAAAATCATTAAGTTATTTGAAAAGTTCAAAATGCTTTATCGAGTATTAGTAAAATCTAAAACCTGAGCAGTGACATAAAATGCATACTCAATGATAAAGAATGAGGATTCTTTATGAACTTTACACTCACGAGCCTCCACATCCTGTAATCTTCTATCTATCTCGGAACTTTTCCGACTAACTTCTGCTAGCCTGGCATTCAAAGAATGTAGCTTTCCTTTAGCCTCCAAGTATTTCTCTTCGACAGTGGCCTCAAGAGCATGCAATTCGAACAACTTTTTCTGAGATTCCAATTTAGCCTCAGCAACTTCAGCATGCATCTCATTCAAAGCCTTCTCAAGCTGAACGAAAAAAATAAAATAAATAGATAAGACAGAGATGGAGAAATAAATAGAGTATCTTAGAGCATTCTAGCAAAAAAAGAAAAAGAAACTACAAGTAAAGAAAATGGGAAGTACTGATAATGTTTTTTAGCAGATGAAAAACTATTTGAGAATATCACATAGTGTAGTACTATAGTAAGATACTTTAGATGTTCTTGTCTATTTTAACCATTACCTTGGATTTTATCAACAATATCATCCATAACCTATGTTTCTTATAAATAATAAGCAGATGATACAAACAATTGTTGCAGCATAAAGAAAACGAGAATGCTACCTATTAAAGAACTTCTATTACATGAATGGCAAGAACAACATAAGGAAAACGGGAAACTACAGAAAATTAGTTCATAATAGATGATTTTGTTACTGGCAGCATAATATTTGGATAAAAGAAGAGAATAAAATGTCTAGCATCTGGTAACTGTTTACATTAACAATGGACTGCCTCTGAAAGCGCATGGCCCTCCTCATATCTTCCTCTTTCTTTTCAAATTCAGAAACAGCAACATTATGTGCCGCTTGCATGTGCTTTTGGATTTGCACTGCCTCAGACATTTCTTGCCATAGCTTTTTGTATTTAGCAGCTGATTCCTTCTTCTCTATCAAAAGGAGCCCCATATGATACTGGTACTGATAAAGCTGCATATAATAGGCCAGTTGGATGACAATTAAATTTCAAATTTAACTAGAAAATTAATTAAAATTAATTCAAACTTGATCCACTACTTATCAAAAAATTACAATAGGATAAGTGTTCCATGATGAAAAACAGTTTACCAACAAAATATAGATAAAACAATAAATAGATATAAAGAACGGATGGCGACAAATATGCCCAGAAAAGTATATGCAATAAGTGTACAAAAACACATAATGAAGGCACATCAATCCTGGACGTTTCCATGAACAGAAGGATCAGTTGTAGTAGCATTTTAATAGAGCCTCTGAGATAAATGGTACCAAGACAATGCAACGACCAAATGGCTGCTTGCTAATGCCAATTCTGAGGATAGAGACATTGGAGAACTAGAGGTAATGAGATTTCGTTAATGAAAATGATAATGAAAAGGAAAGAACTCGCTGAGTTACTGGCATTAATCAGTCATTGGATCACCGAGTTCATGATTAAACCAACTTGTCAAGTTGACTTTTTAAATTCAATAATCAAGTGAAAGGATAAGGAACTTAAAAAGAAAGCATCTAATCAACAACACTTAAGCTGGCTACCTGAACCAACAAATTCTTGCTATCTTTCTAAAGGGAGCTTAACTGTAGGGCAACCCATCAAGGAAAATAAAGATGCTTTTCTACTTTTTTTTTAAACATCTTTCTCATTTCTTGACCTATCCTGGTTACTGTTTGCTTCCACTATCTACTGTTAAGCATATACTGCAAAGCACCTAAGTCCATGACATATGTTGCTTTTCCATTCTACAATCTTCCATGCAATATAACAAATAAATTTACTTTTATCATCAATCTGTATTTTATATCATCCAAGTGATCTATTATTTAGATCATACTTCTGAAGAAATGCAATGCAAGAAGGTAAGTATAGCTTAATATAAAATCAATGAAATAGAAACATGGGCAATATCTCAATTATCATAACTTAACGCAATGTATTGCACCCACAGCTAA